CCACAAGGCTCAAACGCTGATGTTTGTTACTGAACCCTCTGACACAAAGGCATGTGTGCCAGGAAAATTGTGCAGGGAACTTTTAGTAGATAGGTAAGTAGAATTGTGCAGTCTGTACATTGCGGTATTTGGAATTGCTTGGACTTTTTAACTGCCATTTAATCTACACAGGACCTGGGTGCAAAGGCTAGGGGAATGCTATTTAACATCAATCCGTAAAGTGAAGGGAAGATAGGCATTGTGAATTTTTGCCCTGTGAGTGTGTTTTAATCTCAGAGCTTCTGCTCTTCTGTGTTAGAGACTGGGGAGGGGGGGGCAGAGCAAAGAGGGCAAAAGAAACTCTGTTTTTTTGAAGGTCATCAAGCCCTACATAATTTAATTTTCTGCCAGTTTAGGATTTTTTCTTTGTTTACATTTAAAAAACATATTTAATCTGATTCATAGAGCTAACTCACATGCAACCATAAACTAATGCATCGGGCTAGATCTGTACAATGTTCTAAATACAAAATACCCTAAAACATAACAATTATGGATATAAATGAAGTTTAAGAGCGAACACTAGCCAAGTTTAATGCATTGTGCTTGCATTCAACTGAGAAAGCTTTACCTGCTCTAGTGAAGGGCATTGTGCCATCATCACTATAAAGTCCAAGACCATTTGACCATGTGTTGTTTGACGTGATGAGGTGGAATTAAGTTGGATCTTTTGTGCTTAACTCTGTCCTTGAGAGGAGATATCCTTTACTTGCTTTGTTTTAATGATAGAAAACTGGGAATGAAATGTGTCAACAGGCAGCTACACTTTATTGTATCCAAACAAAGAATCCATTTTACAAGCTATTGGAGGATGCTATTCGTATATTGATATCAGAAACTGCTCAAAGGGAAGTTTTCTAAACTAATAATGGATGCTAACTTGGAACCAAGATTAACTTGAACGTTTCTGTCAGGGCGCTCCTAAACCATGATTCCCTGAATTAGAACTTCCATAAATAGGAACCCTTACACCTTTGATTTCCCTATAATAATATTGTCACAATTTTTAGTCCTTCAACACAGGGAACCCAATGAGTCACTATATTATGTGTAACCATGAATTTGAGTAAACCATAGCTCAAGTTAACCACAAGTAAGCATCTTCTGCAAATTGCCAGAAAAAACTACAGATGCCTCTCCTTTTCCCTGGTTATAAAAATGCAGTAATAATAATAAAGCAGTTCAATAGCCTTGGATTCTCTTTCTATGATACTAAAATAGGTCTAGGCTAAAATATCCTGCCTTTGATAGAACAAAGTGCCTCCCCTCACTTTCCGTAATATAAAAGTCAACAATTTAATCTTTGTTTGATAATTATGTTGGAACAGTGTCTTTGCAATCCCAGAAACAGCCCTGTAGTTCAATGGGCACATAACAAACTATAAAGTTCACAGCTATCTCTCCTTTGGCATATTGGTATCAGTTTCCAAAACATGCCTCCTGACTACCATCTGACCTGCTACCATCTGACCAATGATAGGGTTGGTCTTGCATTTATATCTATTATCATTAAAAGCTGATGTCCTCTGAATGGTCCGATGATTACATCATTTTTGGTGTTTCCTCAAGGCCTGGATAAAATCCAGCTGGTATTTCTTAATTTGTTTCCTTCTCTCCTTTTTTTTTTTTTGCTCCATATTCGCTGTTTGGCCTTTTTATTATGGGTGTGAAGATCAGTTCAGATCTGATTGGATAAATTGATTCGATTCAGGTCAGTCATTGATTTGATTTGGAGTTCCAAAATGGATGGTTGAATTCAGCAGATCTTATTTGGATTTGATGGAGAACCTTTCTTCACACAAACAGAAGACATCAAATGGCCGGAGCCATCTGGATGCTCCTAATTTGATTCAACAGTTTCATCATCCAAATCAATGATCCAATTCAGGAAGTCAAGCGGGTTGGTAAATTATGTTGAATCAAATCTTCGCATTGCCTTATTTTTTTCTGGCTCAGAAACCTTGTCTTAATCCAGTGGGATCTCTTTGTCCTCTAGACTTACATGGTCATTTTTGTGGGATCTTACCTCGGCCTGGCTTATTCTGTAGGGAGGGGGTAGTCAAATAAAAATCTTGCAAAAACCTTGAGAATAATGACAAAAGCATGCTGGGAGCTGCTTTGTCTTCCCTGCCTCCACCCCCACCTGCTGAGGAGAGAGAGATAAAATTTGCCCAGAATTTATGAGGCTTGACCTTTTCCACCATGGCCTCCACCCACCCAATTTGCTTAAAGAAATCTTGCCACCTCCACATCTCTTGTATTTCTTTCAGGTATCATAATTTATTAGAGAGCTGTTTCTCTCTCTCTCTTCTCCCCCCCCCTCCCAACAAACTCTCTTGAAGAAGAAAAAGTGAGGAAGATTTGCAGTTGGGCTATTTTTCCCTTAAACTGGACCCTTACAGTAGTAGTTTTTTTTTTTAATTAATCTTCCACTCTCATCAACACATCCTGCTCTGGCAAAGGGGTGGGAGGCATGCTTTAAACCAAGGATCCTTATTCTGTAGTTTAGAGCAAGTTAGAAGTAAACAAGTGAGGTCAACTGTGACTAGATGGGCTCATCTTGAAAAATTATTCCAATGTCCTTGGCTGAGCAGTACTTGAATAAAAGAGGAGAGAAAGGAATGAAGCAAAGCTGCAGGCATCCATAAATAGTTCCCCATCACCTTTCCTCCTACCCTCTTGCTACTCAACTATCTTGCTTTCCATTCTCTTTCCTCCCTCCTAGAACTTAGCAATCCAGTTTGGTGTAGAAGCTACAACTTTGAATATGTGCAGTTTTATGGCTTTTTCAGGTATAACTGAGAGCCAGTTGAATGTAAGGGTCAAAGTTCTGGCCTAGAAATCGGGACTGTGAGTTCTAATCTCACTTTAGGCATGAAAATTGGTTGGTGGCTTTGGGCCCATCATTCTCTCAGCCCAATCCACTTCAAAGAACCATCTGTAAATTAACAGGTGTTACATAGTCAAGATAAAAATTCAGGGCAAAGAAAGGTGGCCATGGAACTAAAGAACTATAAAACAATAGCATTCAGATGTTTTTTATTGGGTATTAATTTCACCTTGCTTTTTTATTTTTTTATTTTGGATAGAATCAGTATAAAACACTGAATATAATCAAACATATAACTCAAACAATACATAATTTCTAAAGTCTGGGAGAATCAATAATGTTTTCTCTACTATTCCTGAATATTCTATATTGTTGGTGTCCATAGACAAGAGAGTTTTTTTTCTTTATCTGCTGTACTTCTGACCACACTTATCTTCTTTAGAGACTGGCAGTTATGCACTTACTAATGAGCCATTTGTATGTTTGGATAAATATAGGTATAGAAAATCTCAAGTCAAGTGTAAATAGGCCATCCATTGATCTTTTAAAACACTTGTGGTTGGAGAATTAAATGACATGAATGAGCAGAATCTGAGAGAGCAAGCTGGATCTAAAAATTGCTAGTTTGCTATCTGTAATACCTGTAATATAAACCCAGTTCAATTGTTTTGTTTCATAATATTGAAAAATGGAAGACTTTGATTTAAGTCACTTGTGATCAATGTAAGAGAACCCTGATGTTTTGCAATTGGATTCTAGCAGTCAATACACAGCAGGGATATTGATTCCACTAACTTCACATGAAAACATATTTTCCAAACACTAAGCCAAAACAAAATTTGATCTGTTTCATTGACAGATCAGAGAGCAAAGGTTTTTTTTTTAACTTTTACCTTTCTTTTTCATGTAACTTCAAATACTTTGGGTGTTCAAGGGAATGGTTTCAAAAAATCTGAATCATGATCCTAAAATTGGTTTGGTGGACTTTTTTGGAGGGTGGGGAGTTGCCCAAAATAAATTATATGTTTTGAGATAAAACATATGAAAGCTGACAACATTGTGAGCAGCAAATTAATGAGATATTGCTGTATTTAAATTGCAATCCCAACTAAGTCCCATTCATCTCTTAATACTTTCTTGATGCATTAACTTGGGGTTTTCTAAAGAGGTTAATGTACTGTAGTGATAGTAGTTGAATTGCGTTCATAGTAAGTTCTTCAGTTTACATGAACAAAACATGAAACTAGACCATTAGACAGCATTGATCACAATAGGAAAGGAGCATGGATGATAAAAAGTAAAAAAAATATTTTCTGGTCATTAAGCTGGGAATCATATATCATAGTCCTCAAAAGCTTCAAAGTCCAAGTTGGCAACATGTCCTGTTGTAGTATGGTTCCTATCTTTCCATCACAATCTGCTTACATGTTGCCATTTTCCACCTTATGTCTCCACACTCAACATTTCTAGTCTGCATAGCAACTACTCACTACTTGGCAGGTGTAACATGTAGAGGATACTAGGCTGGTGTGTATATGTTCATGTATGTATGAGATGTGGTCGTGATGCATTAGGTTGTCATGGTATCCTGCTAGGTAGCAGCTGTGGTGGCAAGGCATCCAACTGATGAGAGTGGTTGGCATGGCAACCTCAAGGGGCCTGTCTTTATTCTCCCCATACTTCAAAGGTTGGAGTGGGGAAGGTCTCCCTTGGAGTGGTTATCCTAGGGACCACATCTGTTGGTTTGTCTATTGCCATAAAGCAGATCATGAGGCCCATCTTCAGCCACTAAGGTGCCTTCTAGAGGAGCGGGCGGCTCTTTAGATACCAGGAGCGCTCTTCCTTCCTAAGAAGCGGGTTGCCAAGGCGCCAATTTCAACGAAGATGCGGTTGCCATGACAGCGACGCAGAAGGCGAGATAGAGGGACCCAACGCGCGTCGCGCCCTCCAGGCGCCAGGAGACGCTGCCCGGCGGCAGAAGAGACGGAAGTGGAGTAAGACACATCGCGGAGTGGTCACTCTAGCATCCCCCTCTCTCTTTACTCTATGTCCTCTGTGCGAATTTCGGGCTTCAGAGTGAGGCGGACCAGTCAGCTGCGGCGGGACTCGTTGGTGAGGTTAGGCCCGCCTCCTCTGGCGGAAAGATGGCGACCGCCAGCGCTGTCGTGTGAGCGGTGGAAGTTCGCCCCATCAGGAGCGAGTTGGAGCGGGAAGCATCGAGGTGGGCTCTTCCCTTGCCGCACTCTCCGGGGACACGCGTGGAAGGGCTAGCCCCGTGCGTTGAAGGGCTAACCCCGGGGGAATCGCGCTTCTCCACGGCGTGGTTCGCTGTCGCCCAAGGGCTGCTGCTCCTGTCTCTTTCAGGGGGTTCAGTCGCCTCTTTGGGCTCTCCCTTAAGAACATAAACCGGGGGAGGGGGAAGGTCGATTGAAGCCAATGCCAGCCTCTTGCGAGCCAAAACTTTATTTATTTCCTTCTATATCAAACTTCTTAATCGCCCATCTCTCTCGTTGGAGGTTCTCTTGGGAGGTGTGCAATTTAACCAATTATCATAAAACATTTAAAAAGCCCCAAATAATTTAGATTTTTTTTTTTCAAAAAAATGTAAAACAAAACTGTTGAAATATCTTCATAATCATTAAGATAGCAATAGCACTTAGGCTTATATACCGCTTTGCAGTGTTTTAACAGTCCCTCTCTAAGATAATGGAAGGATGCCATGACCCCAAAGGCTTTTATGATGCTTAATTTCTCAGACCCATAAATGGCATTTATATTTCTCTCAAGTTAGTTAGGGGAAAAGTCCCTTAGTTCTTTGTTAGTGCAGCTGCCCACCTTGATGGGTGGCGACCTCTCTAAATGGCCTTTCCACTTAGGTGGGTTGACTTATTGCAGAAAGGGAGAAGTGCTGGCTGATTATTATTTTGTTTTTTATTATTAAATGTATTTGTTATTTGGATATGTTTGCCACCTTCAGTTACTTGCAGAAATAATAAAGGTGGAATACAAATTAAAGGAATAGATGTATTTGCCACCCATCTTGCCCTTCGAGGTGAGCAGCTTACAACGGGGGAAAATACATTAGGTGAGGAGTGCAGATCTTTGAATGCAATGAATTCAAGAATGCCTTCTATCAGACTTAGATCCTGCCTTGCTTTTGGGAGGTTAAAACGGCACATATAATGCTCCCTCCTCAGTTTTCCCTGAAACAATTACCCTGTGAGTAAAGTTGTGCTAAGAAAGAATAACTGGCCCCAAGTCACCCAGTGAGTTTCTATTCCTGAGGGTGGACTTGAACCTGCATCTTGTTTCATTGGTTTTACTTACCTACTTGCCTAAGAAACTCTTACGCCAGATCAGCTCCATATGATTTGCCCTGACTTAAAACAGACTTTCAGAGGCAAGTTTTTTTTGTCCCCCTGTATCTAGATATTTGAAATGTTCCAAATATAAAATATGCATTCCACCACTGAGTTGTGATGGTTTTGCATGTGCTTAAGAAAGAAAGGTGGAAAAGAAAAGAAGAAGAAACAGACTAATAATGTTCAGCTTCAAGTCAGCTGAGGCATACTGCATTTTACCCCAAATTCAGAAATACTAGATAGAATGGTTGAGCTTGTATTCCAATGTGTATTCATATTCTATTCAGTCCAATCTACTTCACTTAGTTGCAAAGAAAAAACAAATACAAGAAAAAGCACTCTTGAAACAAAGATCCATGCTATTGCAGAGGGATTGCTACTATCGAAACCCTCTCATTCTTATTTGTGTCAGATTAGATCATATTTCATAAGAGGTTGAGTCAAGTTTGAGCTGCTCTTTCTAATATTCTGGCCTGCTTGATTACATCATTGCCACTTCAAGTGGAATGGAATACCCCAAAAGAGGGATGGGCTTCCAATTTTTAGTCATTAGCTCTTCTCAGCAGTTTCTAATTTACATTAAATGTTAGCTGATTTCATTTGGGAAACAAATTCTTAAAGTGTGTTTCTTTATAAGTATGATATTTTAGGAAAGTTCTTCTGATAGTAATCGTGGAAAACTACAGAAAATTGGAGAATCTTGTGGCAGCTTAAAAATTAGCATTTTTTTTTTGTATGTATGAGTATGGCAGCTTAAAAAAATTAAGACTGATATCTCTTTCCTTGAATATCCTCCTTCTCTCCAGTTTTATTACCACTGCCTCCAAATGTTCCATTATTTGACAACATGATTTGCCCTGTGGCTCTCTCGGAGCCCAGTATTCCTGGGACATTCTCTGTTTGAAGAAATTAGGATGGAACATGACAACCCAACCATCAAACCTCGTCGGATCCAGAACCAGAATGTAATCTATCGTTTAGAACGTCGAAGGATCACCTCTGGCAAAATTGGGACACATTGGCACCAAGTCCGCATTTTTCATCAAAACATTTTCCCCAATTTTACTGTGGTCAACGTTGAGAAGCCACCCTGCTTTTTACGAAAATTTTCCCCTGATGGGAGATACTTCATTGCTTTCTCCTCAGATCAGACTTCTTTGGAGATTTATGAATATCAGGGATGTCAGGCAGCAGAAGATCTACTCCAAGGTTATGACGGAGAGATCTTGGCTAATGGCAATGACCAGAGGTCCATCAACATCCGCGGGCGTCTCTTTGAACGGTTTTTCGTCCTTCTTCATATTACCAATGTGGCCTCCAATGGTGAGCACTTGAACCGCGAATGTAGCTTGTTTACAGACGATTGTCGATACGTCATTGTTGGTTCTGCTGCCTATTTGCCTGAGGAGCCCCATCCGCCCTTTTTTGAGGTTTACCGCAACAGTGAATCGGTGACTCCTAATCCCAGGTCTCCCTTGGAAGATTATTCTTTGCACATTATAGACCTACACACGGGTAGGTTGTGTGACACCCGGACATTCAAATGTGACAAAGTCATCTTATCCCACAACCAAGGACTCTATCTGTATAAGAATATCTTGGCTATTCTCTCCGTGCAGCAGCAAACTATTCATGTCTTCCAGGTCACTGCTGAAGGTACCTTCATTGACGTACGAACTATAGGGCGCTTTTGTTACGAGGATGATCTTCTCATGCTCTCGGCCGTTTATCCAGAGGTCCAGCGGGATTCACAGACAGGAATGGCCAACCCGTACAAAGAGCCATTCATCAATTCTCTGAAACACAGGCTACTAGTCTATTTGTGGCGAAGGGCAGAACAGGATGGGAGCGCTATGGCTAAAAGGAGGTTCTTTCAGTATTTTGACCAGCTGAGGCAGCTTCGCATGTGGAAGATGCAACTGTTGGATGAGAGTCACCTCTTCATCAAATACACAAGCGAGGATGTAGTCACTTTACGAGTGACGGATCCTTCACAGGTAGAAATATAGTAATTTTGTAGTATTTGGATTTTGTCTGGTTGTATGTATGTTGTATGAGTCCATCTGATTCAACGGTATGCAACAAAGAACTCTGAAACTTAGTCCAGTCTTCCACAGTTCTATCCAGTTTCCTTTTAAAACCATCATTGCCTCATTTGATAGCAGCAAAATTCTATAGTGTTTGTCTATAGAATAATTACAATTATTGATTCTGAATCTCTCCACATTTAGCTTAAATGAATGACTACAAATTAAAAAAAAAAAAAAAAACACTCTAGCCACATTTCTGCATGTATATATTGTTTTCCTACCAGACTGTATATTTGTCTAAAAATCTCTCCAATCTGTAATCTTATTTCAAAGGAAACTAATTTAGCCTGTTCACTGTTTTATTTTGCACTTTTTCTGCTTTACCATTTCTCTTTAAAATGGGTTGAACAGAACTATATGCATTATTTAAAATAGGGTTTTGCACATCACACACGCATACAAACTAGTATAAAGTGTTTTACTTTCAGTTATATTCCAACACAGGGACATATTACTATGTTTTACTTTCATTATCTTCCACATGATTCCTAGCAGATTTTGCCTTTTTTAGGGTTAACTTTTCTACTGAAGTATCTACTGTGAGTACAAAATCCTTTTCCTAATCAGTCAAGCTCAGATCTCATTACTGGAAAAGTTGGTTGTTCAGAGAAAAACAACAACAACCCTAATATAGTTTAGATTCCTGAAATTCTGCTTTCGTTGTTTATCTTCACTTTTCATACCTTTTAGATGGAGGAAGAGATGTAATTTGCCAGGAGATCTTCTTACCATGCCTATGTGTGCTGCTGGGACCAAAGCAAACAATGTTCCCCCAAAGGACTTATACATTTTAGTCTTCTAAAGAAAGAAAACCTGTGCTGATTGATAGGACAGACTTCCTGAGGGCTCCATAAGATGATTGCAAGAATACAGAAGGAACCTGAAAATCAAATGGGGGGGGGGGCAGGGGGAGGAAATTGATAAATTAACCCCAGTTTTAAAGAAATGATGGAGGAACATAACCTGAGTAAATGTTGGCAAGGAGGTAGGTTAATAGGAGAAAGTTATTTGTAGAACAAGAAAGGATGGTCTTAAAGGAACAAAAGAAGTTTGAGTAATCAGAGAAATGGGCCTTTATACAGTTGTCGTATGACACAGTATGTCTGATTGCACTCTTCAGTGAAAAGCTGTACAGTCTTTTGTGTGTGTGTGTATGTGTGTGTGTTTGTAGGAGAAGGAGTGGCAGAACATGGGGTGGAGTTAAAAGAGGGATCAGTTTAGAATCCCTACGTCGCCACAAGTGGTCTAAATCTAACTCCCTTTGAATTCCATTAATCTTTGTAACTCCAGATGCCAACTGTTCTTTTGAGAGAAGATTCCTGTGCACATGTATGAGTAGCAGTATATCAGTTTAATTGGACCATCACGTGTGGACCTGGCCTTTCACTCCTGATAGGTTGCTTCTTGGTTCTTCAGCATTCTCCCTCATTTGGGTGTATAAGATGGGCTCAAAAGACAGTGACTTGGAGATGATACCTCTCAAAGTATTGGCCTTTTTCTTGATGGAGACTTTAAAAAGTGTGAGGTTTTCCAGATGTGTATCCAAGGTGCAGTGTTTTTTCAGTTGCTCATGGCAGCTCGGTGGAAGGCCTAAGCACATCTCTCATGATTGGAAGCATGTGGAACGTGGTTGCCTCCATATTTCAAGCAATGATTATTGCCACAGATATATGACAGCATCCATTCGGACTATTCGGACAGCCAGATTATGCTTCTAGGACAGTGATGGCTAACTTTTTCGGCACTGAGTGCCCAATTCGCGCGTGCACACATCCCCAAAATGCAATGTGCATGTGCACACCATCTCCTGCACATGCTCAGCAGAGATTTGAAGACCAGCTGGCAGGCAAGAGGTGCATGCGCAGCAGAGCTCACGTGCCAACAGAGAGGGCTCTCCGTGCCACCTCTGGCACACGTGCCATAGGTTCGCCATCACGGTTCTAGGATTTCCCTGCTTTTCCTGGCCCCACAAATACTTTTAGCAAAAAATGATTTTAGCTGAGATGAATGGAGAGATTTAATACAGGTAGCTCTCGACTTACCTCAGTTTAATTTAGTTTACTTTAATTTATTGTCATTGCACCTTGTACAACGAAATCAAACACCATCTTCACTGCACAATCATGACCATGAAAATAAACAAAACACACATCCTTCGCACTGCATACATTGAACCGAAAACCCGCAACACCGTACCATCACTGCACTATACAGTAGAATTCAAAAGAGCTACTGCCCTGGGATAGAAGCTGTTTTTCAGCCTATTTGTCCTTGTTTTTATTATCCTGTACCATCTGCCAGATGGTAATAGTTCAACAAAAGGGTTTCCAGGATGAGATGGGTCTTTGAGGATGTTTTGAACTTTCTTTAGGTAGCAGGAGCTACAAAGCTCTTCCAAAGGGGAGAGGGCAACCCATGATCTTCTGGGCAATGACGTCAACCCTCTGGAGTGCTTTCCTGTCTGCCACTGTGCAATTGGCAGACCATACAGAGGTGCACTAAGTTAAGATACTCTCTATGGTGCAGCGGTAGAAGATCACCAGCAGTTTTTCATTCAGCTGTTGTTTCCTGAGAAGTCTCAGGTAGAATAATCTCTGCTGGGCCCTTTTGACCAGGGCTGCAATGTGGGCACCCCAGGTCAGGTCCTCTTTTATGGTAACACCCAGAAACTTAAAACTGGCCACTTGCTCCACTCGGTCTCCGTTGATAAGCTAGGGCTGATTGTCTGGTCTGTTCCTTCTATAGTCCACTATAAGCTCCTTGGTCTTATTGGTGTTGAGGATCAAGTTATTGTCTCCACACCACAAAAGTAACTGGTCCACTTCATCTCGGTAGGCAGACTCATCCCCCCTGGAGATGAGTTCCACAACTGTTGTATCATCTGCAAATTTAGCAATAGTATTACTAGCATGAGTGGAAATGCAGTCATGCACATAAAGAGTATAGAGTAAGGGACTCAACACGCAACCCTGTGGTGTACCAGTGTTAAGAATAAGGGCTGAAGAGGTATGATTACCTAATCTGACCCTCTGTGAGTGGCCAGACAGGAAATCCATAATCCAAAGGCAGATTGAATAAGAAAGTCCAAGGTCCAGAAGTTTAGACACTAGTCTGTGTGGAAGAATTGTGTTAAATTTTGTGTTAAAGCTTGTTTAGTGACTGTTTGAAGTTGCGACGACACTGAAAAAAGTGACTTACAACCGTTTCTCACACTTACGACCATTGCAGCATCCCCCTGGTCACATGATTAGAATTTGGATGCTTGGCATTTGACTCATATTTATCACAGTTTGCAGTCTCCCGGGGCTCATGCCCTTTTGCCACCTTCTGAGAAGTAAAGTCAGTGGGGAAGCCAGATTCCCTTAGCAACCATGTTACTAACTTAACAGTGGCAGTGATTCATTTAACAATGGTGGCAAGAAAGGTCACAAAGTGGGGCAAAAATCACTTAACAAATGTCTTACTGAGCAACAGAAATTTTGGGCTCAGTTGTAGTCATAAATCAAGGACTACCTGTACAGAAACTGGTTCATTGCCAGGGATCAACTGAGCATGGAGAAGCTTTAATTTTTCTTATGATTTTATAAGCAATTTTAACATTCGCAACAATATAAACTATAGCTTTTTTTTTAAGAATAAAAAAAGATTCTCAAGATGCAGTGCTCCAAAAACCTAACTTACAAGTCTGTAGAGCTGCAGAAATACAATCAAGCTTTTTGGATTCATCTGCAATCTTATTTTCTAAGGGACAAATTCTTTACCGCTGCTCAGGAGACTCTGTAAAATCAAAACATACCTTTTCAACATTCTTAGATAAGAACACCAGTAATTCAAAAGAAATAGTTAATGGCACTCATCCTTTCTTTTCCAAACCAGCAGGAGATCCTAAACAGTGCAGTGTTTACAGGCAGCAGCAGAGCACAATGCCATTTCAAAGACTCATCTCGGCGGGTTAGAAATATTAAGACAGCCAAAGGAAATTACTGCTCCCCACCCAACCCCTTCCCAAATAAGTCCTACAACTCTCACCTTTCTGCTTATACCGAAGGAATAATCAGCTGCCAGCTCACACCTGAGTGAGGGGGGAGGGGGAAATTAAGGGGAAGAAAACCCATTTCCCAGCAGGAACTAAAATTAAATCTGCTTCTCTGAGAAGAAAAGCAAAATCACCCTTGGCAGAGAAAGAAGTGGACTGTTGAGTGTCCAGTTCAAAACAAACAAAACGAAAGAAAGCATTGGAGGAATTTCACCTAGCTTCATAAACGATTTGACTGTGGTTAATAACCCAGTCAAATCGGCTCTCCTTTCAGAAGAAAAGGAAAATGCAAGGAATTAATGACAAAAGGCAGGATTCTTCCACAAAATGAGGCTTTCTTTTTGGGTTGCTGTGCGTTGGGTGGGAGTTGGCTTGCTCGCCGGACTTCTACCCAACTGGCCTCAATTTCTTCCTTCCTTCTTCCAGCCTTCATTTTTCGTAGTGTACAATATGGTGACTACCGAGGTGATTGCTGTCTTTGAAAACACATCGGACGAGCTGCTGGAACTCTTTGAGAACTTCTGCGACCTCTTCCGCAACGCCACCCTCCACAGCGAGGCCGTTCAGTTCCCTTGCTCGGCCTCAAGCAACAATTTTGCCAGGCAGATCCAGCGCCGGTGAGCCTCATGCCTTCTGTTAACCCCCCACCCGCTGCTCCCCAGGGTCAACAAAAGCAGCAAGGTCGAAGGGGCTAAAGCTGAAAACCTCAGGTTCAGCTCCCCAAATGAATTGGAATTGTTCACACACACACACACACACACACACACACACACACACACACACAGAGCAGGAAGGGTGGCCCAGGCTTTTGGTAGGCAAATCTCATTTATTATTTACTTTATTGGACAACTACTGGTCTGAAGTGGTATAGGGTCTCCTGCTTGAAGACCTCCCAGGTCCCTTCCAACTTTGTTAGTTTGTTATATTTAAGACTTTTGGGAAAGGGAAGGGCAGCTGTTCTGACCCACCTCCCCAAACACAACAAACCCTCTGGTGTGAACACAAAAGATTCCTTTATTAGGAATGCCAGCAGCCCTGACTCTCTCACTGCAGGCTAACAAGTTTGTCCGGCAGAGAGATGAATAGTTAGTTGTCTGCCACACCTATTCATCTCCATCCCCTGACTTTTATTCCCAGAGCTAAGGTGGGGCTTCGCTTAGTAGCAGTGGCTCTTCTGTCCCAAGGACCGGCCCATAGATTTCCACTGCTCTGCTCTCTTCTGCCTTCTGCGCATCCACGTGTCAGGCACTGGACCCAGCAGTCCCTCCTCTTCTTCATCGGCCACCTCCAGACCTGGCGGCTGTTGACTTCCATCTGAGGGGTGGAACCTGAAGCTCTCAGCTTGCCTTGATGCTGATCCATGCCTCCTCCTCCTCTGATTTGGCTGCTGGAAGGGATGGCGGCTAACAGGCCACAACACTAGCTACGGGACAGGCAGGGACTGCATTTTTCTAATAGGAAAGGGAAGAATTTGGCTTTTTTATTTTTCTCCCTGGCAATTTGTCCCTAATCTTCCAGACCTTCCAACAGTGGCCCCATGGCCACTCTTAACTGATCCCATCCATCCATCCTCTCTTTTGCTTTCCTTCTACCTTTCCCAGCATTAGAGCCTTTTCCAGAGAGCTTTGCACAACATTTCCAAAGCAGGATAACAGGAGGCTGGTAATTTATGCCTGGAGTGAGAGCTCTATAGATCGATTCATTGGATCCATAAGGCTGTTTTCTTAGCTCTCCATCATATTCTTGTTTTACAATTTACCTGATAGATTTTTTTCAGTCTTGCCATGCATCTTATTCTCACCCATTGTAAGTTGGAAGGGACTCCAGGAGCTGCGCAACCAGATACAGATAGTACTCAACTTACAACAGTTCATTGAGTGACCGTTCAAAATTACAACGGTGCTGAAAAAAGTGAGTTACGACCCCTCTTCACACTTAGGAGGATTGCAGCATCCCCATGGACCTGTGATCAAAATTTGGATGCTTGGCAACTGGCATGCACTTATAACTTATAGGAGCCTCTGTGGCACAGTGGTCAGAGTGCAGTACTGCAAGCTACTTCTGTTGCAGCCAGCTGCCTACAATTTGGCAGTTCAAACCCCACCAGGCTCAAGGTTGACTCAGCCTTTCATCCTTCCAAGGTGGGTAAAATGAGGACCCAAATTGTTGGAGGCAATATGTTGACTCTGTAAACTGCTTAGAGAGGGCTATAAAGCAGTATATAAGTCTAAGTGCTATTGCTATAACAGCTGCAGTATCCTGGGGTCAGTCATGTGATTCTATTGAGAGTTTTGCAGCGATAATTCAGCGCCAGAAAAATAAACACAGATGGCTGATGCTTCATTTAACATCTTTATAAACATAAGTAGATTTTACAAACCAGTTGTAGATTTCTCCAACATGGAGCAAACTCAAACAGAAACATGTTGCAAGTTCAGAGCAGAGCTCCTGTCTTCAGCAAGCAAGCAAGTTAGTTTCATCTTCAATAGACAGACTCAGAGCTCAACATAGCTGCAGATTGCAGAGCTTAATATAGAGCCACGCCTAGGCTACTTTTAGTTTCAGTTTCCAGCCTAGGCTACTTCTAGTTTCAGTTTCCAAAAACAGTCCTCATTGGCTGACTTAGTTGCTATGCCTATTCATTGGCTGACCTTGTTACCAAGCTCTATTCCAGTTCATGAATATACTCTGACAGATTCACTTAACAACCATGTTGCTAACTTAACCGCAGTGATTCACTTAACAACTGGGGTGAAAAAGGTCGCTCTTTAGGGTCAGTTGTGGCTGTAAGTCAAGGACTACCCATACATCTGATGCTTCTGATGCCTTAATTTTTTCAAAAAAATACACCCATATTTTCCTCCAGCGGTCTCCAGATATTTTGGACTACAGCTCCCATAGTATCAGTATTTGTGCTGGCTATGCCTGACGAATGTTGAAGCCCAGTACATAAATGGACTTCATGGAAGGCTTTTCAGGTGTTCCTCCCTTTGTAAGATAGGGTTTCCCATCTAGTCGGTGATGAAATTGAGGGATTAGGGTTATCTGAACTGTAAGGAACAGAATAATCTTTCCTAGAATTCACCTTGGTAAAGACAACACGGAGCTGTCCCTGTTTCCTAACTTCAAAGCAAGCATTCATTTTATCTTGCATACTGTAGATTATTGTTTTCAACAACTTAAAAGGACACGCTGCTACCTTCCATTTACATTTCCCTCCTGCCCTTTACATAATTCAAGAATGAGGATGGGTAGCCATAAAACCTTTTGGTTTTCATGTTGTTCTTCGACAAAACATAATTTAAAGGCAAGCATTTCTAATCCTTGTCACCCCATTGTGATGTCTGTCATATTTTGCCATTTAAAGAGTTCATTTCTTGGAATAGTCATACAGGTTTACTTCTGGACTTATTTCCTAGAAACCAGCACTTGGCCTTTCAAATAAAAGACTTTTTGCACAGATTCAATATTCCTGGAAGGGCCAGAAGTTTTAGGTTTAACATGTACGAATACGAACTTTAAAGAGATCTGAGATTTTTCCCGTTGAATGGTATAAAGCTGTTATCGTTCTGGTATTTTGCTTTAATGCAAGAGATTGAATGAACAATGACCTTTTAATAGTGCAAGGTGATTTGGTTGTCTCTAAATTATTAATTTATGTTTTTCTTGAAGAGAAAGATATTTCATGCTTCAAATGAGTTACCTTTTTAAACTCTTGGTTTCTTTAGTTCAGCATCTGGTTCCCTCTTCCATTTTATTGGCTCAGTATCTGGTTAGTTCTTTCTGATTATTTTTTTCTGCTAGTGTTCCCTTGACCCAACTGTCTGCTGGCCTTGACTTTATCCTTGTCCTTCCACACATCGTCCATTGAATGAAGGCTGATCTATAGAAATTGCTAAGTAATTTTTTGATAGGTTTCTTTATGCCACTACTGATTTTCTGACAGAAAAGCCTGTAATGAGCTGCTAAGGAATCTCTGTTAGATTTTGTTGTTGTTGGAAATGAAATCTAAAAATGATTAGGCTGCTCAATTTCTCTTCAAGTACAGGTGATTCACTACTTGAGAACTATTTATCTGGTTATCTGTCTTCATAGCTATATAGCTGTTTCATTTGTGTCTTAATTGCTATGAAGGAGCTTAACTACATGTTCCTCTTGCTTACATTTTAATCTCAAAACAAGCCCCCAGAATAGACAAGTTTGAATTTCCATAGCTTTGTGGAATTTGAACCTGTCTGTCTAATCTGAGCCTCTGAATGATGCCATTATTTCCTCTAACCTTATTCAGTGACTACAGATTCAAGGTCTTAGGCAGAAGTTCGTCAAACTCCTTCTTCCCCAACGTATTTTTCTCAAAAGAGATACCAAAGATTGGCCATAGCTAAACTCCAGTCCTTTTATGAACTCAGGATTCTTGTTTGCCTGATTTCCCCAAAGCTAACATATACTATCAGGTGGGTGGAAGGAAGGAGAGGTGTTTTGTTACGTCGTTTCTTTCAGCTCTGTAGCCTTCACCTTCTCTGCTTCAGTTTCAAGGACACCATTGTCAACGCAAAGTACGGGGGACACACAGAGGCCGTGCGCCGGCTCCTGGGTCAACTTCCAATCAGCGCACAATCATACAGTGGCAGCCCTTACCTTGACCTCTCTCTCTTCAGCTATGATGACAAGTGGGTTTCGGTCATGGAACGTCCCAAAACGTGTGGTGACCACCCAATCAGGTATGCACCATGCCTCGATTTCCACGATCGCATTAGAAAGAGCAAGCCGTTGCGTGTAGTTTGCATCCCAGTTAGCCAGGAAACAGGTAATCATAAGATGTCTCATTCATTGGGCAGTTAATAGGGTCCTTGGTTTGATCCACCATAGGCTACATGTAGCCCTTAACTTACCATCACCATTGAGCCCAAAATTTACATTGCTAAGTGAGAAATTAGTTTAATACAATAGCCCTTAGACTATAGCCCTTATATACCGCTTCACATTGCTTTACAGCCCTCTCTAAGCGGTTTACGGAGTCAGCCTCTTGGCCCCATCAATCTGAGTGCTCATTTTACACAGAAGGATGGAAGGCTGAGTCAGCCTTGAGCCCAGTGAGATTCGATCTGCCAAATTGCAGGCAGCCGGCAGTGAGCAGAAGTAGTCCTGCATTCTAGCCACTGTGCCACCATGGCTCATGTAGCTTTTGTTGAGCTTCATCCACGCTACCTTCCAGTCATACCCTCCATATGTATGAATGACCTCCGTTTTTAATTTCACATCGCTGCTCGTTTTCCTCACTGGTGTCTTTGATGCTTTGGAAAGGTCCTTATAGGTGATCATGTGGCTGTCTAACAAAACAAGAAAAGCAGTTCTGTAGATGTTCTCGGCCATGGGCTTCAGCAGTTATGAAAGCAGATAGCTCAGGTTTGCTCCTACGTTTTGGAAAGGCTGAAAAGAAATCCGAGCTTGTGGATGCTTGCGTTTTCTAGTGTCTGCTTAGCAAGCAGGCCAGTTTCAAGAACTGAGGGGGATGAACCTCTGCTTTGTCTCTCAGTAGCATCTAGAGGGACACGGTGGCTCAGTGGCTACGACGCTGAGCTTGTCAATCAGAAAGGTTGGCAGTTTGGCAGTTCGAATCGCTAGCGCTGCTTAATGGGATGAGCTCCCGTTCCTTGTCCCAGCTTCTGCCAACCTAGCAGTTCGAAAGCACGTAAAAAATGCAAGTAGAAAAATAGGGACCACCTTTGGTGGGAAGGGAACAGCGTTCTGTGCATCTTTGGCATTTAGTCATGCCGGCCACATGACCACGGAGACGTCTTCGGATGGCGCTAGCTCTTTGGCTTTGTAACGGAGATGAGCACTGCTCCCTAGAGCCAGAAATGAGTAGCACGTATGTGCGAGGGGAACCTTTACCTTTACCTAGCATCTAGAGCAGGGATCTCCAACCTTGGCAACTTGAAGACTTGTGGACTTCAACTCCCAGAATTCCTCAGCCAGCATGGCTGAATGAGGAATTCTGGGTGTTGAAGTCCCCAATGATGCCAAGACCAGGGGTCTAGAAGGCCAAGAGCCTTCACTTCCGATCTGCTTTCAACAAGAGCAGTTGATAACAGATAACAGATAATCAGAGTTGGAAGGGACCTTGTAGGTCATCTAGTTCAAACCCCCCCCCCC